TCAGAAATTTTAAAATCCCTCGAACTGTTAGAGAAGTACGCCAATTTCTTGGTGTTGCAAATTACTATAGGAAGTTTGTCCCTAATTTTTCTTCATTAGCTTCCCCTATATCAGACCTTATTAAGAAAGGCAAAAAGTTTGAAATGACTGAGGAGGCTTTGGAAGCTATATCAAATTTAAAGAGGTCATTAACTACAGCACCCGTACTTGTTCACCCAGACTACTCCAAGCCATTTATAGTCCAATGTGACGCTTCCAATACAGGAATTGGTGCTGTTTTATGTCAAATTGACGCAGCAGGTTTTGAAAGACCTATTTATTTCTATTCAAAGAAACTAAATAAGTCTCAGAAAAATTATTCTGTAACGGAACTTGAGTGCTTAGCAGCTGTTTCCGCTATAAAGAAATTCCGTCCGTACTTAGAAATGCAACCATTTAAAGTTATAACTGACCATTCTAGCTTAAAATGGCTAATGAGTCAGAAAGACTTGTCAGGAAGACTAGCTCGATGGAGTCTTTCTTTACAAGGGTATGATTTCGAAATTGAACATAGAAAAGGTTCGGAGAATATTGTACCAGATGCCTTATCTCGTTCTTTAGCGGAAAATGAAATTTCAGAACTCTTTGAGTGTATTTTGGATGTCAATTTAAATAGTGAAGAATTCGAAAGTGAAGATTACAAAATATTGAGGCAGAATTGTTTGGAGAATTCAGAATCTTTACCAGACATTAGGGTGTCGGAGAAATTTGTATATAAGAGAGTAGGATTTTATGAGGGTAGTCAAGTTACTGATACTCTAGTTTGGAAATTATGGGTACCAAGCTCTCTTACTGAAGATTTAATTAAATCGGCTCATTATTCTCCTCAGGCTTCCCATGGTGGAATTTCTAAAACACTGTTCAGGTTACGCGAAAAATATTATTGGCCTAATATGGCTATTCAAGTTAGAAATTTTATTAGTAAATGCGAAACATGTAAGGTTACCAAAGCTCCTAATTTTATAACAAGACCACCAATGGGAAAACAAACAATTACCGAAATGCCTTTTCAGAAAATTTTCATCGATTTACTCGGACCATACCCTCGGTCAAAGGCTGGGAATACAAATATGCTTGTGGTTCTAGATCACTTCAGTAAATTTTGTTTTATCCATCCCTTACGTAAAGCCGATGCTAATAGTATAATAACATTTTTGCAGAATCATGTTTTCAGCGTGTTTGGTGTTCCGGAAACTGTTCACAGCGATAACGGAAGTCAGTTTACATCTAAAGATTTTTCCGAAATGTGTAGGACATATGGCATAAACCAGGTATTTAGTGGGTCTTATGCACCTCAGAGCAATGCTTCAGAGAGGGTGAATAGATCAATATTAGCAGCAATCCGATCTTATATAGGTGACAACCAGACAACGTGGGACGAAAATATTTGTCATATTAACCAATCCCTGCGTAGTTCAGTTCACTCATCTATTGAAATTTCACCATATTTCGCGTTATTTGGTAGAAATATGATTTCGCATGGGTCAGCTTATAATATTCTCAGGAATTTAGGAAATATTAATGATGGTGAACTTGAAATAGTTAGCCAACCTGACCATGTAAAACTCATTAACGATTCCATATTGAAAAATTTAGAAAAATCATATAGAAGGAGTGAACGTACATATAATTTAAGAGGTTATAGGAATATTAGATATGAGCCTGGTCAGGAAGTCTATAGAAAAAATTTTCAACAAAGCGACTTTTCGAAACAGTTTAATGCAAAATTAGCTCCAAAATATGTGAAAGCTCGAATTGAATCCGCATTAGGTAATTGTTTATATAGATTAACGGATTTGAACGGAAAATTTATTGGTGTATTTCACGCGAAGGATATCAAACAATAGATATGCCCGGCTAATATCGTGGGTCGTGCCACACGTGGGAACAAATACCTATGGTCAAGACAAAACACATAGCCCCAAAACATTTCCTTTTATAAATCTATTTCGTAAATGTTTTGGTTTGTTGGGGTTGTTTTTTTTTTTTTTTTTCAAACACATAGTCCCAAAACATTTCCTTTTTATTTCATACTTGTAAATGTTTTGGTTTGTTGTAGTAGCCTTTACTTGTTCAAAATTTGAAATTCAAAATTTTTTTTCAATTTAGTTAGCATGAATTTTGTAAATAATATTTGAAATTATATTTTAGGTAAATGGTATTGAAAGTTTGAAATTTCATATTAAACTTGTTTTAAATTTAAAAATTTTGTTTTTATTTATTGAGTTACCTTAGTTTTTGGAAATATTAAATGAGAAAATTTTTGTAGGTAAATTGTTGTTTTTATTTTGAAAATTTGAAATTTGTTTAAGAAAACTTGTTTAGGAAAAATTTTTATATCATGTAGGCCAATATTATTGGAAAATTGTTTTTGATAATTTTTGAAGTTTTTTAGAAAATTTTTCATTATTGTATAGAAATTCAAATTGTGCGGTTGAAAAATAAAAATTAAAACTGAAACGGATAATAAAATAAATAGTAAAATTTAAAAAAAAAAAATAAAGGAAAAATTCAAAAGGATTACGCAAGAATATTAACTAAAAGGATATGATTTTATACAAAGGATAATCAATGGAAATTGAAATAAAAGCATGATTCAAAGAAAAAGATATAAAAAATGTGAAAGTTTAATATAGAGCATAAACATACAAATTCAAATAAAATTAAAAGCAAAATAATATTAACGATTTAAAACACAAAATTTTAAATATTTTGTATTAAAAGGAAATTTATAAAAAAAAAAAAAAATATTAAATGAAATAAAAACTTAAAACTTTGAATAAAAGAAATAAAAAAAAAATAAAAACTTAAAATTGTGAAGATTTTTAAATAGTTTTTTTTTAATAAGCAAAAAAAGAATATATCATTGACAACTAAAAACTTCAACTATTTTAAATTAAATGAAACTAAAAATTTTAATAGTGTTTGAAATAAACAATGACAAATAAAACCTCAACTGTTAAAATTTAAAAAAAAAAAAAAAAAGAAGAAAAAAAAAAAGTTGATAATTTTTGAAAATTAATGTTATGAAAATAGACATATTTTAAAATAAGAAGAAAAAAAATACTAATGAAATGCTGAAATCTAAACCATTCGGATAAAATCAGTGCAATGAATAGTCAAGATTCTTTGAGTTTTAATGGATGGAGTAATTTGAATGAAATAATAATAAAATATTTAATTATTGTTTTTTATTAAATTGATATATAATTTAAATTTCATTTTGATTTGTTGTGTTTTTTTTTTATATTTAATTTTAAATTAATTCTGTTTTTGTAAAATTTTGAGAATATATTATTTTGAATATGCTGCTGATATGTACATATCGAGGGGTATAATATGTAAGTTGTTTTTGTTATATAATATTATTTTTATTTTAAAATATTGATTTGTTTCTTTGTTGTTAAAAATTTATTCATGGCAATAACATTGAACATTTCAATTTATTTAAATATTATATTATTATTTGTTTTTAATTTTCAATTTAATAAATGTTGAAATTATTTGAATTTAAGGAAAATTTGATTAAAATGATGTACTAATTTTTATAAATTTTTGAGTTGTGGATGATTGAGGTAAGAGATGGTAAATTGTGGTAAATTTGTTTTCATTAAAAGGGAAAATTGAACATCACTGATTAGAACCCAATAATTGTTTAGTCATGAATCAGTGACGTTACAACAGACGGACGGTTATGGCTTAACCGACTCAGAAAATGATTCTGAGCCGATTGGTATTCTTAAAGGTGGGTATAGGATTAATTCTATGCGTTACAAACATCAGCACAAATCCAATATAACCTCCCCACTAAAGTGGTGTAGGGTATAATGAATGTCTGATGGCGTATGATTAATTTTTACTTAAGAAAGTTAAACAAAATCATACGCCTAGAAAACTTTAAATAAGCACAACTTCAACATAAAAATAAGTAGAATCCGTCATAAAATAAGTTGAATGGAAAAGCGGCTTGAAAACAATTGTCTTCCAAATTGCAACCTGTAGTTTGATTACAAGGTTTACATGGACAGACAGACAGACAGACGGACAGACGGACATGGCTTAATCGACTCAGAAAATGATTCTGAGCCGATTGATATTCTTAATGGTGTGTAAAAGACCATTAATTCTATGCGCTACAAACATCAACACAATTCTAATATACCCTCCCCACTAAAGTGGTGTAGGGTATAATGAGTGGAATCATTTAATATGAATCGTCTGATGGCGTATGATTAATTTTTTACATAAGGAAGTTAAACAATAATAATCATACGCCTAGAAAACTTTAAATAAGCAAAATATCAACATAAAATAAGTTGAATGGAAAAGGGGCTTGAAAACAATTTACCATTAAAGTTAAGAAATTTTCTAAAAGAAAAAAATCTGAAATCAATTATAAATTAGTTTCGATATCAGGTGATAAATTTTCCCTTTAAAAATGGTGTAAATATTTCTTTATATAAATATAACAGTAATTTTTCCGCAAAACATTTGTAAATATTTTTCGACAAAAAAAATGAAAATAAATAAAAAATTAAATTTACCTTTTATTTAAATTTAATTTACTTTATTTATTAAACAATAAAACCAATAAACTCTAGTTGATTTCTATGTGTACTTTTGGCCTTTATTTACGAACATTTCTTTTTTTATGTCGATTTAATATTTAAATATTTATTTAATTGTTTTCAGATTAATTGTTGCATGCACTAAATACCTAACTTTGCAATAACATTTAATAATTTGTAAAATTGTTTTGTGTGTATAATAAATATTGTTGTTATTGTGTTTTTTTATAAATATAAAATTCTATGTAAATTTTTATTGCAGAAATGTTTGAGAGAAAAAAAATATTTTGAAAAAATAAATAAAAAATTTTTTTTTAACAAATATGAATAACTAAAATATTTTGAATTCTGTTTTCTTGTTCTTTTTTTGTGTCTGTGTGTGTTCTTTTCATGTTGTACAGCTGCATCTGAATGCTCGAATGAACGTTTGAAACCCTATAATGGTTCATGTTATCTATTCGTTTCATATCCGGAAGTAGATTGGTGGACAGCACAACAAGTGTGTCGGGGTATGGGAGCCAAATTGACATCAGTGTCATCGGCTGATGAGCACAGGTGAGTGGTGTTTGTTTAGCTAAAATTTAAAGAAATTTAATATATATCTATGGCCTCTATTACAATCATATATTGCTAAAACGGAAACGGATGTGTTTTAGCAATTTAAGTTAGTTTTTGTAACTTATCATTGTATATTATCAACAAATTTTTAACTTAATTCTTTTATCTATTAATTGTTTTTTTCTTATATTTATCTCGTGTTTTCTTTCTTCTCAATTTATTCTACAACAACAAAAAAACCCATTTAGATTTATAACCTCCAATATCCGTAATCAAATTGACTATTCGCCACAATTGATTTACTGGCTGGGGGCTGAATTGGAAAAGAACGGTCAATTTGAATGGACAGATGACTCTAAAATGAGTTTTCAGGTATGTAACTCAAGCGTGTCATACAAAATGCATTTCTACAAAAAAAGCAAAATGTTTTCAATTCATTCTTTTCTTTTTAATTCTTTATATATTTCTTTGTTTCCTTTTTTTTTTTGTTATTAAGTATTTTTCCTCCTTATCTAACCAAAAAAGATAATATTTAAGTTCATATTACTTAATTGAATTTATTATTTTCCATTTGTATTTGTTCGATTGAGCTAATGGCTGGCTATTAGATAGTAGGATCTATTGTTTGGTTTATTGCTTCAATACATTAAAGAGTTTATTTTTCAAAAAAACAAAAGTTTTGTCATTTAAAAAGGGTGTTACAAACCAGAAGCAATTTGTTGTTACATTTTTTCAATACTTTATATTTTTTTAGATTAGTATTTATAAATGGCTTTATTTGGTTGCTGTGGTTTTAAATGGTTTTACATTGAAAAATTCAATGTTAAACTATCTATAAAACGTTTTCCATAGTTATAGTTGTACTAAATAGTTTAACAAAAGGATTTTTAAATTTAGCTATTTAAAATAATTTAAAATTATAAAATTTTTATAGACTATACTACAAAACTACTAAACATAATTATCTTGCATCATAATAGTATGTAACAAGTATGAGTATTATTAGCCATAAGTATGCTGAATTTTATTATATTAGAAATTAATATAGCCATCACAGTGATTTTCAGATACAATTATGTGCCTATAGGATCAATTAAACACCCGATCCTCATAAATTTTGTCAGAGAAATTTATGTTCCTATAGAACTCGTTTAAAACTAACGTTTATACTGGTATTATTAAGCCAATTATAGGATAGAAGTAAGGTGAAGGTGACCTTATATGGAAGGTAGATTCAATTATGAACTGATCCTCATAAAATTTGGTAGTGTGATGAATTTCATCGCTATACCTGAATTTTTAACCGGTTATGTGTCATTTATGGAGTAACTAAAATAAAAATGCTTTTACTTTTTTTTAATTTACACAATAGCATTTTAAGTCATAATTTTAACGAAGTGATATCATTGGAGTCAAGTACTTACCATAAACGCCTACAAGTACTTAGAAAAAGAAATGGTTGTAAATCGCATAAAAAACGTATACAGCTTCTATAGCTTGACAAGCAAGAGAACTAATGAATTAGAAATTACTTATATAACACTTAGTAAGAACTTATTAGACTACTTCTATGTAATCCAGACGATATGCAGTAGGCACTGAAAAGTATGTTGTTCGGTAAATAATTACAATTGAAAGTAATTACCTAGTTTTTGCTGGGATATTATGAAGGCAATTATGATCGGTAAAATCATTTTCTGAAGGAAGCCTTTGGGGGGTAGGATCAATTATAAGCCGATCCTCATAAAATGTGGGAAATAGAAATCGATGTTCTTAATGTGTTTGTATTCGGAGCGTTAAAGTTATATTCTAATGGGGACCTTATATGGGGTTAGAGTCAATAATGTTAGTTAGTTAGTTAGTTAGTTAGTTAGTTAGTTAGTTAGTTAGTTAGTTAGTTAGTTAGTTAGTTAGTTAGTTAGTTAGTTAGTTAGTTAGTTAGTTAGTTAGTTAGTTAGTTAGTTAGTTAGTTAGTTAGTTAGTTAGTTAGTTAGTTAGTTAGTTAGTTAGTTAGTTAGTTAGTAGTTAGTTAGTTAGTTAGTTAGTTAGTTAGTTAGTTAGTTAGTTAGTTAGTTAGTTAGTTAGTTAGTTAGTTAGTTAGTTAGTTAGTTAGTTAGTTAGTTAGTTAGTTAGTTAGTTAGTTAGTAGTTAGTTAGTTAGTTAGTTAGTTAGTAGTTAGTTAGTTAGTTAGTTAGTTAGTTAGTTAGTTAGTTAGTTAGTAGTTAGTTAGTTAGTTAGTTAGTTAGTTAGTTAGTTAGTTAGTTAGTTAGTTAGTTAGTTAGTTAGTTAGTTAGTTAGTTAGTTAGTTAGTTAGTTAGTAGTTAGTTAGTTAGTTAGTTAGTTAGTTAGTTAGTTAGTTAGTTAGTTAGTTAGTTAGTTAGTTAGTAGTTAGTTAGTTAGTAGTTAGTTAGTTAGTTAGTTAGTTAGTTAGTTAGTTAGTTAGTTAGTTAGTTAGTTAGTTAGTTAGTTAGTTAGTTAGTTAGTTAGTTAGTTAGTTAGTTAGTTAGTAGTTAGTTAGTTAGTTAGTTAGTTAGTTAGTTAGTTAGTTAGTTAGTTAGTTAGTTAGTTAGTTAGTTAGTTAGTTAGTTAGTTAGTTAGTTAGTTAGTTAGTTAGTTAGTTAGTTAGTTAGTTAGTTAGTTAGTTAGTTAGTTAGTTAGTAGTTAGTTAGTTAGTTAGTTAGTTAGTTAGTTAGTTAGTTAGTTAGTTAGTTAGTTAGTTAGTTAGTTAGTTAGTTAGTTAGTTAGTTAGTTAGTTAGTTAGTTAGTTAGTTAGTTAGTTAGTTAGTTAGTTAGTTAGTTAGTTAGTTAGTTAGTTAGTTAGTAGTTAGTAGTTAGTTAGTTAGTTAGTTAGTTAGTTAGTTAGTTAGTTAGTTAGTTCGAGCTACTACTCGTTTACCGAATGCAATTCTAGCAGTATTCTTTACAAATACTTTGAAATCATAATAATGTCCTACAAAGCGCATTTCACAGTAGTGCTGGTCACTAGCGTATTATTACGAATTTCCGAGCACATGTCAACATTACAAAGTATGGAATCGATTTTCTTACAAATAAATGTGATACTTCTAAATGATGTATTCATCCGGTTCAAAATATAACCATTGGCAGGAAGTATTTCTGTTTATGTTTTAAGGATATTACTTTACGCTCAAACAGACACAATCAAGTCGTACCTGTAATCCTACTGTCGTATAGTATTTGGGCCTCCTTGGGAAAACTGTTGTAGCATTCATAAGTGACTTCAAAATACAAGTAGAGTGAGAAAATTTAATTTCATAACAATCAGTTCCTTTTCCCCATGTATGTTACTGTTACAACATATAATTATTATCAAAAAAAACGTTTAAATATTGAATTATCGGATCGGTTCGTAATTATCAGTAATTCTCCTAAATTGCTCAAAAAATTCAAGGTATTAACAGAAAAGCAAAAGAAAATTATTACACAGTTTAAAGCCATTTCAAAGTCTAAAGTAATTTAGCCAAGTCCACATAAAATATCCTTTTATGTAAAATTTCTTAGAGTTTATATTAATAATTTGACATAAACTAGAAATTTATTATTATTTGTTAAATTTACTCTTTTATAAATTTTTAATAAATTTGCAATAAGCAATCCAGTAATTGTTAAATTCTGTTTAACATGATATATATAAAAATATTGATATATTTGTAAACGTTGAACTTTAAATTACCAACATTCATTTCAATACCTCTCATTACTTTTTATTTCATTTATTTTTATTACATACAACTAACTATTATTGCATTTTATTTTATGCTCTACTTTTTAATCATGTTCTTGTCATTTGTGTTTTTCTAGGGTTGGTTACCTGGCCAGGGTCAATTTGATGCAATGCCCTCCGATGCCACTTGCTTGGGTTTACAATGGAAAATGTCGCCCACTCCAATGCTACCATCTGGACTTTATTGGCAATCGCAAAAGTGCAATAAAGTCGGTGGTTACGTGTGTAAAAAACCAAAGGAATCATTTGGTAATTTTGCTTTTAGTAATTTTACAGTAACAGGAACGGAAGGACGTCTGGTATCGCCAGGTATGTACATATATAAAGGATGATGACGTGAACGTAGTTCAACATTGTTCGACATTTGGTAAATACGAGTAAATATCCTTAAAATTGAACATTACAAACAAAACTTCATGAACATACATTATAAAAACAAATATAGGTACAGGAGTGATTGCTGGAAATACTTGTAATGATACTTTGGGGGTTTCCCTGCAGTTTTATAAGGGGTAAAAGTACCACTTTTTGCACAATAATATTTCATTTGTGTGTGTCTCATTTATAGAAATCAAGTCAAAACAACTAATATATCTTTTAGTGATACCTTCTATCATTAGTTCGGTATAGTCACTTAGAATTGCTGGTTGTCGTGCATGTTTTTGATTGTGTAGCATGTATGTATGCTATTGCAACATTTTGCAATCAGAATTCGAAATCATGCTCTCTGGTTCATAATAAGCATTTTGTTTTAATGTTTTGTTCTTTTCATACTTTCGGACAACATTGAGCTCTTGAACAATTGTTGAGATTTTGATACAGCATATGTATAAGATTTATTTGGATTAAATGTATGAAATCTAATAAAAAATTAAAATCGTTTACTCTGCATTTGTTAGACATGGCAATGAAGTAGAATATAAGATAACTTGATAACCCAGCAAATAAATTCCTCAGCAACATTTATCAAACTGTCAATTCAAGATGCAATGTGTTAGAAAAAGTTTTATTAATTAACTGATTGGTTAAGTTGTTATTTAAGCTTTGGATTTATTTTAAAGGGCAATTCTATAACAATTGCAACATTTTGCTGGGATATACTTAATTATTATTCTAATAACTACTTAGAACATAACCAAACAAATATGTATGAAACGTTTTTAATTAGACAAATTAATGAAAATCTAAACTTAACTAATATTGTTGCAAAAATATTAGTTAATATAATGCGTTTGACTTTTAAATGTCCAATTATAATCAAAGACGACAGTTAATAAATATCAAAATTTCTCAAGCAAATCATAATAAGGCTCAAGCAGTCTAATAATGACTTACAAATAACTAAAGACTAGTCTATCGAAGTAGAGTTGAAGGGACTCCGTTTTGACAGAAGCTCTCTACTCGTCAGATGTAGTATTGTATAGTATTAGATCCAGCCTGTAGCCATGAGAAATCTTATGATGTCACTAAGTTTAGACCCAGATATCTCACCAAGATTGGATATTAGATTGGTCTTTGCCACTGCGACAGTGTGCATTGAAGGGGCTTCAAGCAGACTTGCCTGCCTAGTGCCCAGTATACTGTTATTACTGCTATCAACCTTGATATATCCCGCCTATTTCCTTTTATAGGGTGTCTTGTACGTTTCTCATAGAAGGATGGCCACAATAACTTGGCTCCCTTGGCCTAGGTTATGTCATCTATTTTTAGCCTTTTGAAGAAAGAATCTGAGGATAATGCTTTTGATAACACGCAACGCAGTTGCTACTGAAGCGGCTTTGGAGATTCATGAGCAGATCCCGTTCTAACAAGCTCATCTGCCTCTTCATTTCCATAATTTCCAATGCAAACAAGGGTAATGTCAGACAGGCGACCTAGCCATGATAGATCTTTCTTGCATTGGCTGACTAGTAGTTAAGTGGTAGTATCAGAGTTTAGTGAAAAAAAGTGTCACTTAACTATCGATTCAAATTCCCATATTGCCACGAAAATTGAGATCATATAGTGTCCTGCAGGCTGATAATATCGCAAATACTACAACACTGCAGTTGTTGGGAAGACGGTGAGAGATACTTATCCCAACTTCTTTACAGAAAACGCCAGGGCCAACACCGCAGTTCATTTTAGAGACATCAGTAAAGATTACACCATTTGCTCCCTGAAAGAACTTTAACTTTGAAAACTCTATCGATGTTTTTGATCTCCAACTTTCAGATGAGTTAAGCCTCGCTGCAGGCAGATATGGATGTGCACAGAAATCACCATAGCCAACAGCGCAGTTCCTTTTAGAGCTATCAATAAAGATTCTGGTGGTATATACACTCGATAGATTACTCCTACACCATTCGCTCCCTGAATGAACTCTAGAATTGAAAACTCTATCAATGATGAGTTAAGCTTCGCTGCGCTTCAGACAAATATGACCATTATATGCAGATCTATAGGTAGGATGTGTAATATATTACTCAAAACTTCTGAAGGTCTAGTTCTTAGAGCACCAGTCATTCTAATGTCTGCTGATCTCTGAACTTTCTTTAGCTAATCTACTACAAACATCTTCTTAGTTGAAGTCCACTATGCAAGAGATCCGTATATAGGATTAAGACATACTATAGCTGTATACATCCATTTGACTATGTTGGGACTGAATTTCCATTTCATCCCAAATATCTTACGACAGGTATAATAGGCGACCATTGCCTTTTTGACTCTGTGTTGGATGTTAAGTTTCCAAGATAATTTAGAGCCTAAGATAATTCCTAAATATTTAGCATTGTTTGATAAGGGGATTTCCCGGTTCTTTAACAGCGGCAGGTGGGAATCTTGGACTTTGTTGTGAATAGTACCAGTTTGTCCCAGTTGTGGAGTAACACCAGGCCGTTAGACATAATATCACTTATCACATCTGGGGACATTTCTGCTAACAGTATTCCAACAACGTTCGCATAAGTAATGTCTCTGTAGATCGACCATTAAGGTAGGCGGTCTCAGTAAGCTGATCATATTAACTTAAGCTGGATATGAGACCATAATAGCTGGATATAAGACCATAACAGAAACAGAAACCCTATTTAAACATTGAATAATATCTTCCTATAAAACACTAATCTTTCAAATATTCATACACAAAATAAAAATTACGTACGTATTTGATTTCAAATCCATATTGTCTTCCTTTTCCTATATCCTTACAATATACACTCGTATTTACATAAAAAATATTTTCAAACTCAATTTGTATTTATATGTTGTTTAATACTCACCACCCTCTCTTTATATTCCACGCAGCATACCCAAACACGTATCCGTTAAACATTGACTATTGGATACATATTAAAGCAGCCGAGCGTACAAGGATCATTGTACAATTTCAAAAAATCGATTTGGAGCCACAAGATGAATGTCTTTATGACTTTATAAGTATACAGGATTTTGATATTGTATCGAAAATAATCCTAGAACCTGGTACAAATACAGTACCAATGGCAATGTTGATGTCAGATGAACAATTCACAGCTTATGAAAATGATAACGATGGCATTGGAGATGTTGATGGCGGTGATGGTGATGGTGTTGTTGACGATGATAATAATCAGGACGTCGACAATAATGGTGGTGACAATGGTGGCAATAATGATGCTACTGCTGCTGATGATGATGATGATAGCAGTAGTAATAGTGATGATGATGCGGATGCAGATGACAGTGATGACAATGGTGCTAACGATAACGAAACAACAACTTTTAACAAAAGAACTAAGAAGACGAGTAACACTAAGTTGCAACTACAACATCTTCATCAACAACAGCAGCCCCATGTAAGAATACGTCGAAGTCTTTCAGTCACCAACAAGGCCAGACAAAGACGCAAACTTATTGAAAGACAAACTCAAAGTAATAGTAAAATTAAAAGTCAAAATCGCAAAAGAAGAAGAAAAAGAAACCACACTGCCAAATTACAACAAGACACACAAAATTTTCGCCATTTAGCAGCAATGCATCACAATGATGAAACGGTGGACACTGAACCGAATTTACAAAAACGTAATAAAAATAAAAATAATAAAAACACAAGGTGGCATCATGATAGCAACAATAATTATGGTAGAATACAACAGCAACAACAACAACAACACATTAAACAACAGACACCAAGGAAACATCAACGTAATAAGGATATGGTGACAAGAGAAAATCAACATGGCAGTTCATCCTGTATTAATGAAAATCCCAAAAGATGTAGACGAAAAAAGTCCACAACGGATATTAAAAATTTAAGAACAAATAAAGCTTTAGTTAAGCTGCCAGCTAATATAGCACGCTATCGTCGTAGCACAATATTAAGTGATAACTCCTTACCCGCCTCCGATAATGCCCAGTCATTTTTACCCTATGTGCGTTGGTGTGGTACACACGAATCGAATATGTCTAAATTTGATTTTGTTTCACGTTCCAATGAGGTTATGTTAAACTTTCACAGCGACTACTCGATAACGGGCCTGGGTTTTGCCGCAGTTTGGAAGGCTATTGATGTTTCCGGTTGTCCTTTACGCACACTTACCAGTCGGGAAGGCACTATTTTTTCACCTAATTATCCTCATTTCTTGCTCAATAATTTAAATTGTGCTTATGTGATTCAAGCTCCCGTGGGCAAACGTGTCTGGCTGGAGTTTATTGAATATGACTTCCAATCGGACGCTTTGTTGGAGGTGGATATTGGTAATGGTGTGTTTAGACCATTTCGTTTGTCGGATCATTTAAACGATGGCATGTTTGTGAGTTTAAGGGAACAGTTGAAGGTGCAATTTCGCACGGGTCAACATCCGAGAGGCAAAGGTTTCCAGGCTATTTATCATACAGGTGAGTTGAAAATTATTAACGTCTGGAACATATTGCCAAAATTTATTAAAAAGTTAAAAGTTTTCTAAGTAAAACCTCAAGTTTTCTTAAAAAAGCTTCTAAAGTTTTCCAAGGAAAGCTTTTAAGGTTTCCTTATAAACTTGAAGAGTTCTATAAGGAAACCTTGAAAAGTTTTCTAAAGAAAAATTCAAAAATTTTCAAAAAAAAAAGGTTTCTATTATAAACTGGAAATGTTCTATAAGGAAAACTTGAAGAGTTTTATAATAAAAACATGTAGAGTTCTCTAAGAGAGTTCAAATGTTTTTAAGCAAAACTTAAAAAGTTCTTTAAAGAAAAATTTCCAAAGTTTTCCATGGAAAAAGTGAAGAGTTTTCTAAGAAAACTTAAAGAGTACTCTGAGGAAATCTTGAAGAGTTCTATAGGGAAAACTTGACTTGAGGTCTCTAAGAGAGTTCATGAGCTTTTTAACGAAAACTTGAAAAGTTCTCTAAAGAAAAATTAAAACGTTTTCTAAGCTAAACTTCAAATATTTTCTAAGAAAAATGCAAAAGTTCTCTATAGAAAATATTAAAAGAAAAACTTCAAAATTTCTAAGGAAAACGTTTAAAAAAACCTTGAAAGCTTAAAAAATTTCTAAAGAAAGTATCAAAAGCATAGTAAAAAATTTTCAAAGCTTTTTAAGGACCACTTCAAAAGTTTTCTAAGAAAAACTTCAAAAGCTTACTAAGAAAAATTTTGAATGTTTAAAGAAAATTTTCTACAGAAAACTTTTAAGCTAAACTTGAATAGTTTTCTAAAGAAAAATAGTTTTCTAAAGCAAAGTTTTCCAAGAAAAGCTTCTAATATTTTCTAAGAAAAATTTCAAAAGTTTGCTAAGAACAATTTAAAAAGTTCTCTAAGACAAACTTCAAATGTATTTTAAGCGAAATTTCAAAAGTTTCTACGGAGAATTTAAAAATTCTCTATAAAACTTTAAAAACTAAAAAAGTTTGCTAAGCAAATCTGTCAAGAAAACTTCAAAAGCTTTCTAAGAAAAACGCCTATTGTTTTAGAGAAAAGAATTTTCTAAAGATAAAAAGCATTCAAGGAAAACTTTATAAGCTTTTTAAAGAAATTTTTTAAAATATTTCTAAGGACTACTTCAAAAGTTATTACAGAAAGCTTCAAAAGCTTTATAACAAAAAAACGCAAAATTTATAATGTTTAAAGAAAAATTAAAAGCTTTAAAAACAACTAAAAAAAGTTTGCTAAGCAAATTTTAGAGAGAATTGTCAAGAAAACTTCAAAAGCTTTCTAAGGAAAACGTCTATTGTTTTAGAGAAAAAAACTTTCTAAAGATAAAAAGCATTCAAAGAAAACTTTATAAGCTTTTTAAAGAAATTTTTTTAAATCTTGCTAAGGACTACTTCAAAAGTTTTCTACAGAAAGCTTCAAAAGCTTTATAACGAAAATTTCTAAAGAAAACATTAAAAGCTTTTAAGGCAAATTTTAGAAGCTTTCCTAAAACAACTTTAAAGTTTACTAAGAAAAACTTCTAACGCTTTAAACAAAACTTTAAAAGCTTTCTAAGGACGACATCAAAAGTTTTCTAAGGAAAACTTCAAAAGCTTTATAAAGAAAATTTCTAATGTTTAAAGAAAAATTTCTAAAGAAAACTATAAAAGCTTTTAAGGAAAACTTTAAAAGCTTCTAAAACTTCTAACGTTTTAAACAAAACTTTAAAAGCTTTCCAAAGTTCAAAAGTTTTCTTTAAAAGCTATGTATGAAAATTTTTAAAATTTTCTAAGGGAAACAAGGTTTTCTTTTAGATAATTTTATACATTTTCTATTGGAAATCTTGAAAAGTTTTTAATTGAAAAATTTTCAAGCTTTCTATTGGAAGAAGATTTTACTTAAAAAGCTTTAAAAGTTTTCTATAAATATCTTGGTTTAATGCAACCCAACTATATTTTCATTAAAAAAAACCCAAACTAATTCATGCCTAAAAAGTTCTAAAGTTAATAGTGTAATGCTGCAAACTAAAACAATATTGCTCATAATAAAGACCACAAAATACCCGATTAGCTTTTGTTTCCACCCTACCTCTGATTGCTATTTTCTGATAAGCAACACCTTTTGTTGTGTGTTTTACCCTCGCCCTACGAACATGTTCTAAAAAATCATTGAAGCTGAAAGTAAAATCTTCTAAATTGTATGGATTTAGTAAAACTACCATAAATTGTCATTTTGACATTGTAAAACCTTTTTCAATTGGTTTATTCAACTCGATTTAAGCGAAGAAACTGAAGCACACATTAATAATGCATGAATGTTTTTCAAAATTTATCACATTTATTTTAGACGACTCAGAGATTAACTTATAGTCTTTACAACATTTTTCCTTTACAGTTGCACAAATGGAGAGACGTGAACGTATCATCAACTTGACCAGCAATGACACTGGTTATCTATATCAATTGAACTATCCGCATGATATGGCTGAAAATGTTGACTATACACAACATTTGGTGGCACCATTCGGTCATAATATTTTGCTGGAGTTGCATGGTGTGGAATTTACTGAGAATGGTTGCCAGGATAATAATCTGCTTGAGGTAGGTCTAAGTGTGTAGAAATTAATGTTTGTCTTGCGGTATGTGTATGTATGTGTGTGAGTTTTGAAGTAAGTTTAAATATGTTTCTTGGCAAAGGGACCGCCAACCGAACACCTTTAGCATCGAAACATCAGCAATGAGATTAACAATAGAGAGCTATATGTTGTTGGCGTTGCATGTTGATTACATTTGTATGAGTATGTTGAAAATACTTAATAACATTGAAGTAATAAATTTGAATGTACTCTGCATTTGTATATTAGGGTGGTTTTGTTTTTGGTTTTTCTCTCTAATCTCTGGCAGAGCGTGTAGGAATAGTTTCACTAAACCTCCAAATTTTATAAAATAAACTTTTCCTTAAAGAACCACCCTAATGTAGTTTACATATGTATGAGAATGTGTATCATATACTGTTGAATTTAGTGTGATGTATTGGCCAGTTTGCTTGCGTGTTTAACGAACATTCGAAAATTAATGTTCGACAGTTTAGTTTTAGTTTACACATAAACTTTGCCAAACACACTCAAAGAAAACTTTAAGTAATAAAACTGTTACAACATCTGAAAACCAAACATCTCTAATAAACTATTTATTAACTATTTATTGCTTTGAAGTATAAGCAAAAGATAACTCTTAGTAATCAATTTTTCAAATACATTCTCAAATTATAGCCCCATACAATTTTTCTCTGTGTATATAGCCACACTAGTTCCCAAGTAGTATTACTAAAGAGGTGAGAATAAACAAGTTTTTATTTTTCTAAAAATTCATGTTGTACAAGAACGTTGAGTTGGTTTTGTTTCTTTTCTTTTACACAAGGTTCATTGTAATGAAAATTAATGCGATATGAAGAGTGGCGCCACAACCCCAACACGCAGCAGCAACATGAGCCATATTCAGTATGACATTAATATTCCCCCTGGCACTAGTAGGTCAACAAACACTATGTATGACTACTAGTTGGCTGGATGACTGACTAACTAAATGGCCAACTGCAAGTCTCTGGGGGGGATTGAAGTAAATAACAGAATGGCAAAAAAAAAACTACAACAACAAGAGGCTAATTTAACATGTTTAAGTATGAGACTTAAAAGAAAACGTTTTTCGTTTTCATGTGTAAACAAGAGTGCGATTGAATTAAATAAGTGGGGCTTGTTTAAATGGCGCCTTGCAAAAGGGGGGGGGTTTACAAAGGATTTCATTTTTAAATTAAGAATTAATTAGTATTAATATTCTTAATTATTTTTTTATAGAAAACATTTTTTATAGAGAAAATTCTCTTTTTATACTCTTTTCTACAAAAAAGTTACGAGAAAATTCTCTTTTATAGAAAGCTTTCCAGAAAATTCTCTTTTTATAGAAAATTTTTGGTAAAATTCTCTTTTCTATAGAAAATTTTCGATAAAATGTTCGATAAAATTATGTTTTCTATAGAAAATTTTAAAGAAAACTATAATATAATAAAATCGTTCGAAATGCCAAAAGAGACTCCTGCAAACTTTTCTATGAACAAGTATGACACGGGCAGGAGGCTGGAGGAGACAATGAAACTCCTCTCACTTCCCACCTGGAATGTCGGGTACAATAAATGAAGCGATATTGGAGGAAGTGGAGGCTAACACAGAAATAGTTATTACAACTAGCATGGTTAGGGAGGCCATCAAAAGCTTTGCACGCTATAAAGCTGCAGAACCGGATGGCATTTTCCCGGCACTTTTGCAGAGGGAGGCGGGACTGGTTTCCGTATATCTATCAAAGATTTTTACGGCATGCATGAAATTAATATATACACCCATTAAATGGCTGGATGCAAGGGTAATATTTATACCCAAACCAGGAAACCCTAGCTATGTGACACCTAAGTTCTATCGACCGATACGTCCTTCATACTTAAAACCTTGGAACGGATAGTCGAAAGTATGGTTAAAAGCAGTATATCAGACAGAGATCTCAAATATAAGCAGCATGCTTATGTAAAGGGATGATTGGTAAAAACGGCGTTGAATGAAGTTGTCCACACGATGTCCTAATACTTCTAAGGAGAAAGGATCCAAATTACTTGTGTAGAAGGGCTGAGGAGGCTCTGAACACGGCCTTGAGTTGGGCTCAACCTAGAGGCCTAAATGTTAATCCGGCAAAGACAGAAATATGTCTTTTCACAAGAAAGACAAACATTTCTGAGTATATTGAACCCTGTTTCCTGGGCAAGAATATATCGGTGACAGACAGAGTTAAGTACTTAGGTGTAATAATTGACCGGAAATTAAGATGGAGGCACCACATTGAGGAAAGGATTAACAAGGCACATCGATGCTGGGCGCTATGTAAAAGAACTATTGGCATGAAATGGGGCCTTAGTCCTACTGTGACACATTGGCTCTATAAGAGTGCCATTAGACCAATCCTAAGTTATGCTTCAGTAATCTGGTGGACTTTTTTGGAAAAAAAATGTAGTATCAAACTACTACAGGTAGTCCGGCGTACATGTTGCTTGGGTATAATTGGAGTCATGAGCACTACGTCAACCAAGGCTCTGGAAACAATGCTAGATATTCCACCCATTGAAACATATGTATATAAGATATGAGGCGGCACTTACAGCCGAACGGCTCATAACTTTAGGCGAACTGGCCAAAACCGGTTATAGGACAAGTCACTGGACACATTGGAAGACTATACACAATCATCGGACGTGCCCGATCGCATACCAGAGACAAAATATGTCGGAAACTTTGAAACGTTGATCCCAGATAGAATGTCTTGGCCATGCAGAACTTTAGAACAAATATCAGTAGAAATCCGTTGCTACACCGATGGCTGTAAATTGGGAGACAAAGTGGACCTGTATTTTTATATAGAAGGCCCAGAAACAGAAATATACCATCGTTTACCTAATCACAACACTAGCTTCCAGGCAGAAGTCTGAGCAATAACGGAATGCGTAAATTGGATTAGAATAAATATGGCGCCCACAAGTTTTAACACACATATTTTCCGACAGCCAGAAGGCAATTAGGGCGATATCAGGTGATAAACTTAAATCTAAAACTGTGTTGGATTTTAAAAAAGCTCTAACCGAATACTCTCCCAGATGTAAGGTTCACATCATATGGGTACCGGGCCACTCGGGAGTAGTCTGCAATTAAAATTATGGGTGAGAGAAACCCATAAGGCCTCTTGGAATTATGAAATCATGGGTAGAACCACAAAGATCCTATGGGGTGACCCTAACGAGAGCAGGACGAGAAGTCTTCTCAAAATAAACAAGTCTCAGGTTAGTATGATGGTACGTCTTCTGAGTGGACACACAGGATTACAGGCACACCTATACAACATTGGACGTGCGGATTCAGATGAACGTGGAGAGGAGAGTGAAACTCGGGAGCACTTTCTTTGCCATAGTCAAGCTTTCGCTGAAATTAGATCCAAATTTCTTGGAGGTGATATTATTCCGGATATAATATCCCTCACGAACACTGATTGGAATTACGTCCAGAAAACTGAGTTTCTTAACATCGGACGATAATACTATATAAAGTTATTGTTTTTACCAACAAACATTTTCCATGAAAAGGAGCGCACAACAGGCCCGATAGTGGCCTTGGTGTATTTCTTCGGATTTGATGTAGAAACATCCTCCTATTAACCTAACTTAACCTTCTTATTGGAAATTTCTCTAGACGAAATTTGAAAAAATTCCTCTTATTATAAATTTTTCTTTTTAAAGAAAATTTTTGCAAAAATTCTTTTTTTTACAAAAAAATCGCAAAATTTCTCTTTTTATAAAAAATTTTCTCGACAAAATTTTAAAATTTTTTTGATTATAAAATTGTTATTGCAAACAAACCAACTAACTTACTTTATATTCATTCAACTAATATCACTTTATAATTTGTTTTGTCTTATTTTCCCCTCTAGATCTATGATAATTATGCCGACAATAATGGCACCAAATGGCAACTATGCAAATTTCAAAATGCTAATTTTCATACTGGCAGTCCTCTCGATGACAATTACTTAACCACAAATATATACGGACAACATCCAGGAGAATATATTCCAGATTCAAACGATAATAATGATAATATGAAAACAACATTGCCCGTAACATCCCATGGAAATATGGAGACATCATCAGCAACAACAGTTGCTGAATTTCTTCTACGTCAACATCAGCACCAGCAACAGTATAGTATACCAGTATCACAGTCACCACCTCCCGTCTACATAACATCATATTTAAATACGTTGTATATACGTCAGCGTACCACTGCCAAATCCATTGCCAATCTTAATTGTTCCATAAGTTTACAGTGGGGTAAGTATTAAATACTATTTTGTATGCAGTAGAGGTATGTATGCTGTACTCATATTACTTAGACATCAAGTATTTAAACAACAAAGAAGATGACGTTGTCGTCAACAACAACGACAACAACAACAATGTTGGTATAATAACAAACAATAACAATGTTTAAAGAGTTGAAACTAAATGGCTAGAAGTTTAGTGAGTAAAAGTTATGTAGTTAGTAGTAAAATGTTTTTTTTTTATTAGGGTAGCGGTTATCTTTACTTGATCGCTCTGTTGAATAGGTCTTAGAAAGCCAAAAATTGCTGATAAACATGGTAAATTAATTAACTATGCAATTGCTTAAAAATTTGTTCACAGATTACATCTTTAAATTCATTCAGCTGAATTGAGTTTTTGTTAGCTGAATAAGATTAATTTCAATAAATTTAGGTAATTAACACTAATCTTGCATATAAAATGTTAGCTGAATTGATATTTTATTAGCTGAATATTAAAATCCTATAGAAATTCTTAAGTAAACAATTAAAACACTTCAAAAAACATTAAATTATTTTAGCTGAATAGAGTTTTGCCCTTGCTGAATAAAGATTTGTTTGTAAATTTCATTAATTTTTCTAAAAAATGGCCTTATATGTTTAAACATGCCAGCTGAATTGCTTTTTTATTAGCTGAATAGAAATATGCAATAGAATTTTTATGAATAATATAGAAAAATCATTAAACTTTTGTAGCTGAATAGAATTTTTCTAGCTGAATAAAGATTTATTTGTGTTTTATGTTAATTAGCTTACAAATATTACCTTTCATTACAAATTATGTTAGCTGAATTCATTTTTTTATCAGCTGAATGAGAATATCTTATATTATTTTCATGTTTTTAAACGTAAAATTTAAAAAAGCATAAAAATATTTTAGCTGAATTAAGTTTTTCTTAACTGAATAAACATTTGCTTGTACATTTTAGTTAACTAACATTAAACTATGACTTTAACTAACAAAAAATGTTAGCTGAATTAATTTTGTATAAGCTGAATAGCAATTTTTAATGAAATTCTTATGTTTCTAACAGATATTTTTGAAAATTGATACAAATTTGTTTAGCTGAATTAAGTTTTTCTTGGCTGAATAAAGATTTTTTAGTAAATTAAGTTAACAAGCATCAAAATATGACTTTAATTAAGAAAACGTGTTAGCTGAATTGATTTTATATAAGCTGAATAGCAATATTTGATAGAATTCAATGTTTTTAATTGAAATTTTGAAAAAATCTGTACACATTTGTTTAGCTGAATACAAATTTTTTTATAAAAATAGTATAAATTGTAATATTTTTTTAAATGTATTACCATACACAAATAACAGGAAAAGTTTATTTTCAATTGAGAAAGTTAAGGTTTTAATTGAGATTAATGCAACTGCTTTGAAGCCTTTCGAATCTTCGATGTTTTCTACAAGATCTTCAATCTTGAATTTCATATTAATATGAAGAAAACATAAGGTATTCAGGGTTTTCTAAAATGTCCATTCAAATGAAAATTTTCCAACATAAACTAAAGCTAAAATTCGAAATTTATAAAATGTTAAAAATATTTTGCAGCATGCAGAAAAAACTACAACAACAAATGAATTAATTATTTATACCATTCACTTGTTACTGTAAAATGTTCATTTCATTTTATTTATTCTAGTAGTTTTTTTTTTATATTTTATGCATTAGAAAAATATTGTTTTATATAACTGTTGGCAGTTCTTGTTGTTTTTGTTGGCAGTCTTTGTTAGTTTTTCTCTTTTACAGTAGAAAGAAGAACAGTACTGAAGCACTATAGCTGTGCATATTGTTTTTAAAGTCAGTTGACATTTAATTGATGTTGGCATATTAATATTGTTTACAATTTAAATGTTTGTTCTACTTACTCGTATCAGTTTACTGTTCTCTATAATTTACTTCTAAAAATGTTAAAAACAAATTGAATTTTAACAAAAAAATTAAGTAAAGCATTTAATGATTTGTTACTGGTTATATCTGAAACATAATAGATTATACACATGTTTACATAATTTTCAAAAAAAATCGTATTCAGCTAAAAACAAACTAATTAAGCAAAAGGATTTTAACAATATTTTTAATATTTTTATCAAAAACAACTGCTCTATATTAGTTATTGTTAATAAAAACTTAATTCATCTAAAAAATTTTATTAAAATTATCTCAATTTTGAAAAAAAATACTAAAATTGTTTATTCAGCTAAGAAAATTGTAATTCAGCTAAAGTTTTTTGAGGCATATTAGATTAATTTACGAATTTAAACTAAATTGTTTAAAAAAATTGCCATTCAGCTATGACAAACATAATTCAGCTAAAGTATTTTAATGTTTTACATTTTATAAAAGAAAACGAAAGATATCTATAAGATTTAGTAATCAAAAACTTAATTCAGCTAAGGGTTTTTATTAAAATTATCTCAATTTATAAAAACTATTACAAAAAAATGTTATTCATCTAAGAAAATTGTAATTCAGCTAAAGGTTTTTGAGACATATTAGAAGAATTTGTGAACATTGCATTGTTACTAAATTGTTAAAAAAAAATCCCATTCAGCTAAGGACAACTTAATTCAGCTATAGTTTTTTTTAAAGATTTTTATTTTTAAACAAAAACGAAAGATATCTATAAGATTTAATAAACAAAAAACTTAATTCAGCTAAAGATTTCAAAGAATTTCTATTAAAAATATCTCTTTTAAAAACTTTATAAAGAATTTTTATTCTAATAGGTTAGGTAAGGTTACGTGGGTTGCTTGCTACCCTGAGAATTGCCATTCCCTTATGTAGAGAGTGGTTTCCCTAACTAATTTCGTTGACTGCTTGGTTCTTGCGGAATCCGTGAAATCCAGCCGGTATTTCTAGTAAAACCGATCATGTTTACTAGTGACGCTTCTATGAGACAGTTCAGATCATGGAAAAGAGCTCTACCAAGATAGAGTAGTCTGTACTCTTGTAAGGCTGGGCAGTAACATATAAGGTGTTGTACCGATTCTACTTCTTCTTTGACCAAGCCTTTACGTTCCGACAGTGTCCAGTAATTATACCAGTTAGAAGAATAATAGAGTTTCTACTAAGAGACAACAGAGTCCTAGTCCTAACAGTTGTCAGAGTGGGCAGAGCAGCCTGGATATTCTAAAAGTGTTGATATTTGACCACCTAAGTTCCGTCTCACTCAAAGCTTGCTGATGACTGCATCTATCAATTTTGATAGGGTCACCAGGGGAGTGTGAATATAGGGTTAAGTCTAGTGGCATTCATCAGATATTTCAGATATTTCTCCGGATGCCCTCATATCCTGGAACCCATATCAACTCAACGTGATGTTGTGTCAGTTGTGAAAATGATTGAATACAATTGAGAAGACATTTCGACTTAATAACATTGGAGTTAAGAGCCTTGATTGATGCAAGACTATCTAAGTCTATATGAGTAGTCAAATTTTCGAGATTTAGTTCCCGGATTCTTCTCGCGGATGTATCGATGGCATATACATATCTCTGCCTGAAGGACTGTGCAGGTGTCAGGTAGTCGTTGAGACAGTAGAAGATTCAGTTTTTCTGAAAAGATTCTCGATCTGTACCCTGTCTTTGAGCCATCAGTATAGATTAAGATCACGTCATCCCTTAGGAATGTGTGCGACCCAATGATCCCTTATCGGTATTCTGGTCTTGAATTACCTACTAAAATCCCGTGTAGATAGTATGTAGTCCGCTTCCTGCGCCGTGATTGGCCTGCCTATCTTTTGTAGGATGGTTCCATGACCAATGCGAGCATGCTTTAGTCCGTTCGACTGTTTAAGTCGTAGAGCAGATTTAGCAGAAATGCATTTGATATACTATATATCAAGGGGAGTTATATTTAGCATCGTCTCTAGACTAGCCTGAGGTGTGGATTTCATACAGCCAGTAATTGCAAGACATGCTAATCTTAGTACCATGTTTAGAATAGACAGGGTAGTCTTGGTATCCTCCGCTCCCACCAAACAAGAGCTCCGTAGGTCAAAATATGTCTTATGACCGCGGTGTACATCCAGTATATGATATCTGGATATCTTTTTCCAATAGTTTTCTTACATACATATATAGCAGCCACATAGTGCCTTCGACTCTCAGCATTACGTTTCCATGTGAGCTTAGAGTCTTAAATTACGCCAAGATATTTGGCTTCGCTTGAGGATTTGGCTTCGCCTAAGGTATTCAGCTAATAAGAATTTAGGATTTTTAAGGAATATTTGAAAAATTTAAAATTACCAAAAAATCTTATTCAGCTATAAATAACTTATTTCTGCTGAATGGTTTCAATGATGTTTTTTTTTAATATTTGTGTTAGATAGATTCAGCTAATAAAAATGTAATTTTGTTAACAATTTTTGTCATTTAAGTCATTATTTAAAGAAAGTCAAACAAATCTTGATTCAGCTATTGTAACATATTTTCAGTTTAAAATAAAATTAGTTTATTACAACAAACTTTAATACTTTTTTTACAGTTAACATTATATTAAACTTGTGGATTTTGTAGCATATTTATCATAATAATAATAATATAACCAACACAAGAAACATATGCATAACATTTCCGTAAAATCCTTCCTCTAACTTCCGTTCTTATAAACTCACAAACAAACTCTGAAACAACAAACACTCTGGCAAACAATACGACAAGTATACAATTACAATAAGAGGATTCTTATTTGCATATAAAATGCTCTTAAATAAACTCGTATACGAATATTTCAGGATTTTTTTAATTGTTTTGGGAAATAAAAAAGAAAGAATAATAAATTATTTATGTATGTAAATGTAAAAACAATGATGGATTAAAAACTCTTTTAAAAATATATGTATTTTATAACATGTTGAACAAAATAATATGAATGTAAATATGTATACATGTACTGATAAAGTTCTGTCAGCTGACCATTAAACATTATACCGAAAATAGTAATATAAATACTTTCAAAGTTTATTCATAACCAGTGAGAGCAACTTTTCAGGAATTGATACCTTTACTAACATATTTATGTCCACATTTTATTAGCTGAATAGCAATATCTAATCGAAAATATTAGGTTTATAACAAAAATTCTCCAAAAATGTTTAAAATCTTTTAGCTGAAATGAGTTTTTATTAGCTGAATACAATTTAATTTAGGGGACTTAAGGATTTACCATAAAAATGTAAATAATAATGACATAGGTCAGCTGAATTGCTATTTTAATAGCTGAGTAAGTGTTTTATAGCCAATATTTTAATAAATTGATATGATTTCAATAGAAAACATACAAATTCTTAAGCTGAATTAAGTTTTTCACATAAATATTAAAGAAAATCTTTAGCTGAATAAGATTGTTCTTAGCTGAATAAAAATATATTTAGACAATTAAATAAATTTATTTAAATAATAAAAATCCGCTTGCAATTCTAATGTTCACAATTAAATTATTCCTAAAATCATTAAAATATTTTTGCTGAATAGAGTTTTTTTTTAGCTGAATAAAGAATGATTTATGAATTTTCAAAAAAAAAACTAAACATTATGAATTTAAATACAAAATATGTTAGCTGAATATTCATTTTATTAGCTGAATAGCAATATCCAATAGAATTTTTACGTTTCCGATAAAAAATATTAAAAAAATAATTTTAATCTTTTAGCTGAATTGAGTTTTTCTAAGCTGAATAAGGATTTTTTGTAAAAACTGCCATAATTTCTAAGCTGAATAGAAACAATTTTGTAAATTTATTGAAATAATAAAAATCCGCTTCCAATTCTGATGTTTACAATTAAATTATTCTTAGAATCATTAAAATATCTTAGCTGAATAGGTTTTTTTTAGCTGAATAAAGAATGATTTGTGTATTTTCTAAAAAACACCTCAACATTATGTATTTAAGGACAAAATATGTTAGCTGAATATTATTTTTATCAGCTGAATATCAATATCCAATAGAATTCTTACGTTTTCAATAAGAAATATCAAAAAAATAATATTAATCTCTTAGCTGAATTAAATTTTTCTTAGTTGAATAAGGACATTTCAGTAAAATTTGTAAAAACTGTCAAAATTTGTTCAAAACTTTCGTAAACAACTTTAGCTGAATTAAGTTTCTGAAAAAAATTCATTAAAGTCTTACAGCAGAATTAAGTTTTTCTAAATTGGGATAATTTCAATAGAAAATCTTTAGCTGAATTACATTTTTATTAAGAATTTCTTTAAAAAAATTTCAAACACATTTAGCTGAATGAATTTTTTTGTTAAAAAACATTAAAATCCTTTAGTTGAATTAAGTTTTTCTCAGCTGGATTAGTATATTTTCATCAATTTAAAGAAAATTTCTTCAAAAACCTTTAGCTGAATTAAGCTTTTACTTAGCTGAATACATTTTCTTTGCAAATTTTGCCATAAATTGTTATAACTTTAATATAATAACTTGAAAATCTTTAGCTGAATTAAGTTTTCTGTATGAATCTAGCTAATTAACATACAAATACAGTATTAAATAGCAAAAAATTATAACTGAATTGATTTTTTATTAGCTGAATAGCAATATTCAATATAATTCTTATTATTCTAAGAGAAATATTAAAAAATAATTACAATTTGCTAGCTGGATGAAATGTTTCTTAGCTGAATAAGCGATTTTTAGTCTATTTTTTTAAATTATCACAATTTATTCAAAGAAATCCATAAAAACCTTTGCTGAATTAAGATTTCATCAGCTGAATAACTAAAAATCAATATATTTTTATGTTTTTTTAAGAGAATTATTAAAAAAAACTTAAAACTTTGTTGCTTCCTCTAAGCTAAATTACCAACATCTAATCAATTTTGTAAAACTTGAATTAGGGGTTCCTTAGCTAGTAGCTGAATAAGGTTTTTCTTAGCTGAATTAGCAATTTTTTTACTACATTTTCTTTATTTTATATAAATTAACAAAATTTCTACGAAAATCTTTTGCTGAATTAAGTTTTCTGTGTAAATTTAGCTAATTAACATACAATGAATACCAAAAATTTATAGCTGAATTGATTTTTTATTAGCTGAATAGCAATATTAAATATAAATCTTATGATTCTAAAAGAAATATTAAAAAATCATTATAATTTACTAGCTGAATTAAGTTTTTCTTAGCTGAATAAGAGATTTTTAGTCTATTTTGTAAAAATTATCACAATTTCTTAAAACAAATCCATAAAAACCTTTGCTGAATTAAAATTTCATCAGCTGAATAACTAAAAATCAATATATTTTTATGTTTTTAAGAAAATTATTAAAAAAAACCTTAAAACTTTGTTGCTGACTATGATTTCTCTAAGCTAAATTACCAATATCTAATCAATGTTGTAAAATATGAATTAGGGGTAACTTAGCTAGTAGCTGAATAAGGTTTCTCTTAGCTGAATTAGCAATTTTTTACTACATTTTCTTTATTTTATATAAATTAACAAAATTTCTACAAAATTTTTTTGCTGAATTAAGTTTTCTGTGTAAATTTTTCTAATTAACATACAAATATTGTATTGAATACCAAAAATGTATAGCTGAATTGATTTTTTATTAGCTGAATAGCAATATTAAATATAATTCTTATGATTCTAAAAGAAATATTAAAAAATAATTACAATTTGCTAGCTGAATGAAATGTTTCTTAGCTGAATAAGCGATTTTTAGTCTATTTTGTAAAAATTATCACAATTTCTTGAAACAAATTCATAAAAAACCTTTGCTGAATTAAGATTTCGTCAGCTGAATAACTGAAAATCAATATATTTTTTTTGTTTTTCAGAGAAATGTTAAAAAAAACCTTAAAACTTTGTTGCTGACTATTATTTCTCTAAGCTGAATAAGCAATATTTAATAAATTTTGTAAAACATGAATTAGGTCTGGTAGCTGAATAAGGTTTTTCTTAGCTGAATTAGCAATTTTTTACTAAATATTGTATATTTTATGTAACTTAAAAAATTTTCTTCAAAAATTCCTAAAAAATCTTTTGTTGAATTAAGTTTTCTGTGTAAATTTGGCTAATTAACATAGAAATATTGTATTGAATACCAAAAATGTATAGCTGAATTGATTTTTTATTAGCTGAATAGCAATATTAAATATAATTTTTATGATTCTAAAAGAAATATTAAAAATTAATTACAATTTGCTAGCTGAATGAAGTTTTTCTGAGCTATTTTGTAAAAATTATCACAATTTCTTAAAACAAAACCATAAAAACCTTTGCTGAATTAAGATTTCATCAGCTGAATAAGTGAAAAGCAATATATTTTTATATTTTTCAGAGAAATATTTAAAAATCCTTGAAACGTTCGTTGCATACTATGATTTCTCTAAGCTGAATAAGCGATATTTAATCTATTTTGTAAAAGTTATCACAATTTTTAAAAAAATCCATAACCTGTATTTGAGCTTCCTTAACTTGTAGCTTAATAAGGTTTTTCTTAGCTGAAGTAGCAATTTTTCAATAAATTTTCTATATTTTGTCTAAATTAACAAAATTTCCTCAAAAATCTTTAGCTGAATTAAGTTTTTCATAGCTGAATAATAGTTTTATTCAAACAAATTTTTGGGCTTCTTTAGCTGGTAGCAGAATAAGGATTTTCTTAGCTGAATTGGCAATATTTTACTTAATTTTCTATATTTTATCTAAATTAAGAAATTTTTTAAAAAAATTCCTCAAAAACCTTTAGCTGAATTAAGTTTTTCACAGCTGAATAGACAATATTTATGAATTATTTAATAAATTTTTATAATGACAATAGAAAACCTTTAGATTTATTAACTTTTTAACAGCTTTTATAAGCTTTTTATAAGAAAATTTTGTTTTTACAACTATAGGCAAAATTTAATGAACCAAAATTCATTAAAAACATTTCTATAGTTTCATTCTACATTTTCTACTACTTTTTTTTGAAAATTTATTGACCAAAACTCATTCACTCCTCTTTAATTTGAATGCTTTTCAGATAATAATTACAAAATGAAATTAGCATCTGGGGATAAAAGTGTCGAATCATGTCAACCGAATCCTTGTCAGTATAATGGTAAATGTGTGGTTAACAATCGTACCAGCTACTGTCAGTGCCAGGGACATTTTACTGGAAGGTAAGTTGAGACAAGAAAAACAAACAGACAGACAGACATAGCACTTAATTTAACAAAAAATACAAACTAAACGAAGCCAATTAAGTAATTTATTATTAAAATAACAAATATTTTTTCACCAAAATAAAAACATTTTAGATTTTGTGGTTTAAATTTGTGTGAATTGGAACCCTGCGTCTTTGGTAAATGTGAATTAACTACGAATAATTTTAAGGTAAGTTTAACATGTTGCTCTAACGACCACACAACTGTGCTTTAGTTCACAGAGTGAGAAGAGTGTTTATTTAAAACAAAAATACAACTTTGAATTATAGTGCCAGTGTCAACCTGGTTATATGGGTACGACATGTGAACAAAAACAAAGACCTTGTGCTGATAATCCTTGTGAGGGACGTGGTATTTGTATAGAGAAAAATGGTGGTTTCTTTTGTCGGTAAGTATTCGTATGTGTGTGGATGTGTATGTTGGATGGTTGTGTCTTTTTTTTTTTTTGTTAAACAAAGCTGAGGTGATGAGATGAGATGCTGCTCACTTTGTATTTATTTTAAATAATTTTAGTTTTTTTTTATTTATTTATGTAAATGTATAAACAAACTTAATCTTCCTCTTCATTAATATTCTTTGTTATTTTAAAACGTGCAGTTGCTATGCTTGGTGGGAGGGCCACCGCTGTGAAAAACGTATGCTTCACATACCTTACAAACCTTTATCGGAGCGTATGCTGCAGGAACCCTTTTGGTTGGGTCTAATTACTGTATTTGTGGTTTTAGCTGTTATAGGTTTGGTTTGGTGTGCGAAGCGACATTTTCCAGAGAAAATCGAAAAACTATTGGCTGAAGAAGCTGATCGTAATAGGCGTAAGTTAAAAAACGAAACAAATAAAACATAAACTTATAACATTTATAGTTTCTTTTTGTTTTCGTTGAGAACATTTCGAAGCACTAAGCTTATTAAGCTTAATAAAAATCCTCAAATGTTTTGCTAAACTGTGCTTTCGTGTTATACACTTCATATTTGAATTGAAATTGTTTATTTAAAAAGTTTGAATTAAAAACAATTCAAAACTACTTCCACTTGGTGCTTGATCATAAAGTGGAAATAGTTTTCGGTTTTTACATCAAACTTTTGTTTAGGAATATTAGGGAATTAAAAAAAATCAACAAGGTGTTTCCTTTTTTATAGGAAATTTTTAAAAAATTTCCTTTTTATTGGGAAAATTAAATTCTTATATAGAAAATTTTCAAGAATTTAAATAGAAATTATTGGCTAAAATTCCATTTTTAGAAAATTTTCGGGAAAACTTATCTTTTTGTAAAGAAAACTTTGTCTATTTTTATAGAAAATATTCTGGAAAATTTCTCTATTTTTATAGACAATTTTCGGGGAAAATTTCACTATTTTTATAGAAAATTTTCGGGGAAAATTTCTCTATTTGTATAGAATATTTTCGCGGAAAATGTCTCTATTTTTATAGAAAATTTTCGGGGAAAATTTTTCTATTTTTATAGAAAATATTCAGGGAAAATTTTTCTATTTTTATAGAAAATATTCGGGGAAAATTTCTCTATTTTTAAAGAACATTTTCAGGGAAAATTTCTCTATTTTTATAGAAAATTTTCGGGGAAAATTTCTCTATTTTTTAGAAAATTTTCGGGGAAAATTTGACTATTTTTATAGAAAATTTTCGGGGAAAATTTCTCTATTTTTATAGAAAATTTTCGGGGAAAATTTCTCTATTTTTTAGAAAATTTTCGGGGAAAATTTGACTATTTTTATAGAAAATTTTCGGGAAAATTTCCCTATTTTTATAGAAAATTTTCGGGAAAATTTCCCTATTTTTATAGAAAATTTTCGGGAAAATTTCCCTATTTTTATAGAAAATTTTCGGGAAAGTTTCCCTATTTTTATAGAAAATTTTCGGGAAAGTTTCCCTATTTTTATAGAAAATCTTCGGAAAAATTTCCCTATTTTTATAGAAAATTTTCGGGAAAATTTCCCTATTTTTATAGAAAATTTTCGGGAAAATTTCCCTATTTTTATAGAAAATTTTCGGGAAAATTTCCCTATTTTTATAGAAAATTTTCGGGAAAATTTCCCTATTTTTATAGAAAATTTTCGGGAAAATTTCCCTATTTTTATAGAAAATTTTCGGGAAAATTTCCCTATTTTTATAGAAAATTTTCGGGAAAATTTCCCTATTTTTATAGAAAATTTTCGGGAAAATTTCCCTATTTTTATAGAAAATTTTCGGGAAAATTTCCCTATTTTTATAGAAAATTTTCGGGAAAATTTCTCTATTTTTATAGAAAATTTTCGGGAAAATTTCTCTATTTTTATAGAAAATTTTCGGGAAAATTTCTCTATTTTTATAGAAAATTTTCGGGAAAATTTCCCTATTTTTAAAGAAAATTTTCGGGAAAATTTCCCTATTTTTAAAGAAAATTTTCGGGAAAATTTCCCTATTTTTAAAGAAAATTTTCGGGAAAATTTCCCAATTTTTTATAGAAAAATTTCGGGAAAATTTCTCTATTTTTTATAGAAAATTTTCAGGAAAATTTTTCCAATTTTATAGAAAATTTTCGGGAAAATTTCCCTATTTTTATAGAAAATTTTCGGGAAAATTTCCCTATTTTTAAAGAAAATTTTCGGGAAAATTTCCCAATTTTTTATAGAAAAATTTCGGGAAAATTTCTCTATTTTTTATAGAAAAATTTCAGGAAAATGTCTCTATTTTCATAGAAAATTTTCAGGAAAATTTTTCCAATTTTATAGAAAATTTTCAGGAAAATATATCTATTTTTATAGAAAATTTTCGGGGAAAATTTCTCTATTTTTATAGACAATTTTCGGGGAAAATTTCACTATTTTTATAGAAAATTTTCGGGGAAAATTTCTCTATTTTTTAGAAAATTTTCGGGGAAAATTTGACTATTTTTATTTATTTTTTCTCTATTTTTATAGAAAATTTTCGGGAAAATTTCTCTATTTTTATAGAAAATTTTCGGGAAAATTTCTCTATTTTTATAGAAAATTTTCGGGAAAATTTCTCTATTTTTATAGAAAATTTTCGGGAAAATTTCTCTATTTTTATAGAAAATTTTCGGGAAAATTTCTCTATTTTTATAGAAAATTTTCGGGAAAATTTCTCTATTTTTATAGAAAATTTTCGGGAAAATTTCTCTATTTTTATAGAAAATTTTCGGGAAAATTTCTCTATTTTTATAGAAAATTTTCGGGAAAATTTCTCTATTTTATAGAAAATTTTCGGGAAAATTTCTCTATTTTTATAGAAAATTTTCGGGAAAATTTCTCTATTTTTATAGAAATTTCGGGAAAATTTCTCTATTTTTATAGAAAATTTTCGGGAAATTTCTCTATTTTTATAGAAAATTTTCGGGAAAATTTCTCTATTTTTATAGAAAATTTTCGGGAAAATTTCTCTATTCTCAAAGAAAATTTTCGGGAAAATTTCTCTATTTTTATAGAAAATTTTCGGGAAAATTTCTCTATTTTTATAGAAAATTTTCGGGAAAATTTCTCTATTCTCAAAGAAAATTTCCGGGAAAATTTCTCTATTCTCAAAGAAAATTTCCGGGAAAATTTCTCTATTCTTAAAGAAAATTTCCGGGAAAATTTCTCTATTCTTAAAGAAATTTCCGGGAAAATTTCTCTATTCTTAAAGAAAAATTTCGGGAAAATTTCTCTATTCTTGAAGAAAATTTTCGGGAAAATTTCTCTATTCTTAAAGAAAATTTTCGGGAAAATTTCTCTATTCTTAAAGAAAATTTTCGGGAAAATTTCTCTATTCTTAAAGAAAATTTGCGGAAAAATTTCTATATTTTTATAGAAAATTTTCGGGAAAATGTCTCTATTCTTAAAGAAAAATTTCGGGAAATTTCCCAATTTTTATAGAAAATTTTAGGGAAATTTCCCAATTTTTATAGAAAATTTTCGGGAAATTTCCCAATTTTTATAGAAAATTTTCGGGAAAATTTCTCTTCCTTTTATAGAAAATTTTCAGGAAAATTTCTTTTCTTTTATAGAAAATTTTCAGGAAAATTTCTTTTCTTTTATAGAAAATTTTCAGGAAAATTTCTTTTCTTTTTTTAGATAATTTTCAGGAAAATTTTTCTATTTTTATATATTTTTCCAAGAAATTTCTCTTCTTTTTATAGAAAATTTTCAGGAAAAATTCTATATTTTTATAGAAAATTTTCAGGAAAATGTTTTTACTTTTATAGGAAATTTTCAGCAAAATTTCTTTATTTTCATAGAAAATTTTTTCAAGAAATTTTCTCTATTTTTATAGAAAATTTTCTCTATTTTTATAGAAAATTTGCTCTATTTTTATAGAAAATTTTTGGGAAAATTCCTCTGTTTTTATAGAAAATTTTTGGGAAAATTTCTCTATTTTTATAGAAAATTTTTGGAAAAATCTCTCTATTTTTATAGAAAACTTTCGGGGAAAATTTTTCTATTTTTATAGAAAATTTTCGGGGAAAATTTCTCTATTTTTTAAAGAAAATGTTCGGAAAATTTTTCTTTTTTAAGAAAATATTCGGAAAATTTTTTCTTTTAGAAGGAAATATTCGGAATTTTTTTTTTAAAGGAAATATTCGGAAAAATTCGCTTCCTAAAGAAAATCTTCCGGAAATTCTCTTTCTAAAGAAAATTTTGGAAAAATTATAATTTTATGGAAAGTTTTTGGAAAATTTTTATATTTTTATAGAAAATTTTCTGGAAAATTCTCTTTCTAAAGGGAATATTCGTGTTTATTCTCTTTTTGTAGAAAATTTACTTTTTAGTAAAAAGTTTTTGGAAAATTCCCTTTATAGTTCATAGTTATTTTTATTTAAAACCAAAAACTAAAGCACAATTTAGCAGAACATTTGATTTGACTGCGACTGGTTCTTTAACTCAAAAATTCTATAACTTAAGAAGGCTTCAAAGAGTTTTTGTATCTTCAGAGACTATCTTCTGATTAATAAATTTGTTTTTGTCAAACTTTCATTACTATTGCAAATTTAAGTTTTCCTTTAAAGCTACATACATATTTTTTACTAAATTTAATGAAAAAAATTTTGGAAAATTTTTTTATTGTATGCAATTTTTTCTTACTCTTTTTCTCCTTTTTTTTCTTTTTGTATTTTTGTCTATTTTTTCTAAAAAAAAAATAAACCAAAAATAAATTTGAACAAAACCAAAAATAAAAAATTAATCAAAAAATAATAAAAAACAAAAAAAAACAACAAATCAACAAACAATTGTTTTTTATATGAAATTTTCAAATCTTTTTCAAATTAACAGCACCTGGTTCTATACATGGACATCATCATCACACATCATTGCGTGAACAATTGCAATTTACAACTGCCATACCACAAACGACCGTTAATAATGCACCGGGTGCACCTCGTTCCATATTCAACAGATTGGGTATAAGAAAACCATCATTATTGAGCCTCAGCAGCCCCAATCCAGTACCTGGAGGGGGAGGGGCAGCAGCGCGTACATTTTCTCTTGACGATCTGTTACGACCGCCTCCCCGACGTAAGATTAGGCTAAATTCAAAATTGAAAAATTAATGAATTAAAACAAATTAATTAATAACAATTCTGAAAAGAAAAAACAAAACTAAACAAAAAGAAAACAACTCAACTAAAACTCCAACTCAAACACTTTTAAAGAAAAAGAAGACCTTATAAGAAACGATTTTATTAAATTGTTTCTTTAAAAACAAAAAAAAAAACACAAAATGAAATATTGTTTCGATTCTGAACAATAGTGTTTTCTTTTTCTAACACTGTTTTTTCAAAAACGTACAAATTACTACTTACATTTTTTTGGTTAATTTTGTTTTTCATTTTTACAAAATCTACGTTTTATTTTTTTCACTGTCTTTCTCTCTCTCTCTCTGTTTTAACTGTCTCTTTTTTCTATGTATAAAATTTTTTTGTAATTGGTCTATGAATCTGAACGTTTTTCTTTTTGAAATATAACACACACCATTTTTAATTGCCTTACTTCCCTTCAAAATTTTGTTAATTCAAAATAATCTTGATGTTGTGTTAACACCAATTTTTGTATAAAATATTAAAAAAAAAAACTATTATAAAATATATATATATAACTATAATCCAATTTTAAAATAATAATTATATATTTCAAAAGAATATTTTATCAATATTGTATTTAAGTTGCTCTCTCTCTGTCCTCTTTCTATATCAGTCTATCAAATACCCAATAAATTCCCGGTTTGAGTGCCCCTTTAAACTGAAAACGAATTATTATGATGTCTAATAATTGACATTTATAAATATTTCTTAAATTATTCAATATGTCACTTGAAAAATGAGCTTTTGTAACCAGAAATAGTACAAGTATCAATTTGATAAAGAACAAAATATTCCAGCAAAAATAGTAAAAGTTGCCAATATGAAAAAGAGATCCCAGCAATTTCGGCCGACAGTCGCAAACTGGTTTTTTGACCTTTAATCTAGGTTTACCTCTAGACACCCGAATAGTTATTTTAACATGGACATGTCCTAGAAGGAAGTCAATTGACTCTTTGGAGACAGGAAGCACACATAGACTAGGTTATAGACTAGACTAGACTATAGACTACACTATAGACTAGACTATAGACTAGACTATAGACTAGACTACAGACTAGACTACAGACTAGACTACAGACTAGACTATAGACTAGACTATAGACTAGACTATAGACTAGACTAGACTATAGACTACACTATAGACTACACTATAGACTACACTATAGACTACACTATAGACTAGACTATAGACTAGACTATAGACTAGACTATAGACTAGACTATAGACTAGACTATAGACTAGACTATAGACTAGACTATAGACTAGACTATAGACTAGACTATAGACTAGACTATAGACTAGACTAGACTATAGACTAGACTATAGACTAGACTATAGACTAGACTATAGACTAGACTATAGACTAGACTATAGACTAGACTATAGACTAGACTATAGACTAGACTATAGACTAGACTATAGACTAGACTATAGACTAGTCTATAGACTAGACTATAGACTAGACTATAGACTAGTCTATAGACTAGACTATAGACTAGACTATAGACTAGACTATAGACTAGACTATAGACTAAGACTATAGACTAGACTATAGACTAGACTATAGACTAGACTATAGACTAGACTATAGACTAGACTATAGAATAGACTATAGACTAGACGATAGACTAGACTATAGACTAGACTATAGACTAGACTATAGACTAGACTATAGACTAGACTATAGACTAGACTATAGACTAGACTATAGACTAGACTATAGACTAGACTATAGACTAGACTATAGACTAGACTATAGACTAGACTATAGACTAGACTATAGACTAGACTAGACTATAGACTAGACTATAGACTAGACTATAGACTAGACTATAGACTAGACTATAGACTAGACTATAGACTAGACTATAGACTAGACTATAGACTAGACTATAGACTAGACTATAGACTAGACTATAGACTAGACTATAGACTAGACTATAGACTAGACTATAGACTAGACTATGACTAGACTATGACTAGACTATAGACTAGACTATAGACTAGACTATAGACTAGACTATAGACTAGACTATAGACTAGACTATAGACTAGACTAGACTATAGACTAGACTATAGACTAGACTATAGACTAGACTATAGACTAGACTATAGACTAGACTATAGACTAGACTATAGACTAGACTATAGACTAGACTATAGACTAGACTATAGACTAGACTATAGACTAGACTATAGACTAGACTATAGACTAGACTATAGACTAGACTATAGACTAGACTAGAGACTAGACTATAGACTAGACTATAGACTAGACTATAGACTAGACTAGTAGACTAGACTATAGACTAGTATATACTTAGACTATAGACTAGAATATAGATAGACTATAGACTAGACTATAGACTAGACTATAGACTAGACTATAGACTAGACTATAGACTAGACTATAGACTAGACTATAGACTAGACTAGAGACTAGACTAATAGACTAGACTATAGACTAGACTATAGACTAGACTATAGACTAGACTATAGACTAGACTATAGACTAGACTATAGACTAGGACTATAGACTAGACTATAGACTAGACTATAGACTAGACTATAGGACTAGACTATAGACTAGACTATAGACTAGACTATAGACTAGATATAGACTAGACTATAGATAGAAATAGACTAGACTATAGACTCGACTATAGACTAGACCATAGACTAGGACTATAGACTAGACTATAGACTAGGACAAGAATAGACTATAGACTAGACTAGACTAGACTCGACTATAGATAGACTATAGACTAGACTAGATAGACTCGACGACTAGACTAGACTAGACTAGACTAGACTAGACTAGACTAGACTGACTAGACTAGACTAGACTAGACTATAGACTAGACTCTAGACTAGATAGACTAGGACTAACTAGATAGACTAGGACTAGAATATAGACTAGACTAGACTAGACTAGACTAGATAGAAGATAGATAGACTAGGACTAGACTACGACAGACTATGACTAGACTAGACAGACTAGACTAGACTAGACTATAGACTAGAATAGTACTAGACTAGACTAGACTAGACTCTAGACTAGACTATAAGATAACAGGACTCGACTAGACTAGACTATAGACTAGACTAGACTAGACTAGACTAGACTAGACTACTAGACTAGACTAGACTAGACTAGACTAGACTAGACTAGACTAGACTAGACTAGACTAGACTAGACTAGACTAGACTAGACTAGACTAGACTAGACTAGACTAGACTAGACTAGACTAGACTAGACTAGACTAGACTAGACTAGACTAGACTAGACTAGACTAGACTAGACTAGACTAGACTAGACTAGACTAGACTAGACTAGACTAGACTAGACTAGACTAGACTAGACTAGACTAGACTAGACTAAACTAGACTAGACCAGACCAGACTAGACTATTAGTCTATAGTCTAGTCTAATCCGTCAATAAAATCTCATTTTGACTGTGAGTTCAAAGAGTTGTTCAAACCAATAAAACGAGTGCAATTCTCTCCCCAGAGTATCTCTCAAATAGTCCCAAGAATTTCTTTCTAAAAAATACTGCTCTTTTTTTCGTAAGAGAAGTACACGAAGGGGTTTAACTATGATGCTGATATAACTTGTAATCGGTAAAGCTATGATCAGAACAATAACCTTGTATTTTTAAAGAACAAAGTCGAGATCACATTATTCTTATGTAGCACCATGAGTCTGTATTAAAAATACTTTATCTTTTTGGGACCTTCTCGATGGAGTACATCTCATTTTGTCTCCTTCTCCCAGCATTACTATTTTGCTAAGCATCAGGACACGTAGAAAATTATATAATTCACTCTGATCTATCAATATTCTAAATTTTTATAATGACATCAGATAATAATATCTTTACTATCAACTCCAGTGATTCTCATATCAACAAGATCAGTATTACTGTAACGATCACCGCCTAGAATATAGAAAAAACATTGATAGACTGATCAAGTTTCAATTCAAAACTTGAAAACCTCAAAAACCTGTTCATGTTAAACTTCATTATAACTCATATTCTGAAGGGGCTCTATATGGGGCTAGGGTCATACGTATGTAAAACGATTTTACCCATTTTCAATATTAAACAAACTGAAGCAACGTACAACATTTGTCGAAAATTTGCATTTATATTATATTTTTATATACATATAAGCTCTTAAAAGTGACATATTGAATAAATTTTAAATTCCATAACAACAATAACAATTTCAACTAAAATTTCCTCCCAAAAAAAGCTAAAAACTGTACATCTGCCTATCATAACAAATAATTTTTCGGCAAAAATTATCAAAACCACTGTGCGTTAAATTTGCAAAAACTTGAAAATTTCACACACTACTTTATATAACCCAACAATTCTCACACTTAAGACCCTTATTCAATAACAAAAATAAAAATAATTTCTAAAAATTGGTAAGCATTAACAAACAAATTTCTCCCCCCCAAAATTCAAATTGCATAAGGTGTCATGCTCTTGATAAATGTACCCATTAAACTATATTTAATTTAAAACGCCCCCTCCTGGATTGTAACACTTTTGTACTTAACAGCTAATGCACTTGTTTGTCCCCGCTTGTTTGAAAATCCCTTGACTCCCTTTAAAACAAAATACACATAAATATTTTCAAATTAATTTTGAAAATATATTTTTATATTATTAAAATATTGCACTTTGTATTTATATATCCAAAAATTCCTCCTTTTTAAAACAATACAAGAATATAATAAAAGCTTTAGCTTTTTTTCAAAAACACCCGCTTAAAATGTTTGTATAATTTGTTAATAATTTTATTTGTAAGTTCCAGCGAGAAAGAACAATTATTTACTTGTACTAGTAAAAGACAAATTACGTTAAAGTTTAACATCAAAAAATGTGAGTCCATATTTTTGAAAAAAAATCACGTATTTTATT